CGTCCATCTAGCGGTGAAAGTTGGAACTACAAAAATAGAAAATCTCGATTTTCTCGAAAACTAGCGACTTTTCCGAAATTCTGAGATATACAAATTGTTCCTGGTCACTTACGGAATCGAACGAATATATTTATAACCCTCTAGGACTATTAGAAAACAAAATAGAAATTTAATGCATTTCATGGACAAAAAAAATGCCGTCCATCTAGCGGTGAAAGTTGGAACTAAATTTCCGATTTTAGTTCCGACTTTCGCCGCTAGATGGACGGCAATTTTTAGTCCATAAAATGCTATTTTTTTAAAAACCGATTCTAACGCTTTTACAGCATTTTGAACACTGTAATCTTATTGTATTATGATAAAATAACACTCTGCAATAGCGTTTTTGCCGTAAAATTTGCTAATTTAGCGAAAAAACGGATTTTTATATTTCGTTAGTTCCAACTTTCACCGCTAGATGGACGGCATTTTTTTTGTCCATGAAATGCATTAAATTTCTATTTTCTCTTCTACTGGTCCTAGAGGGTTATAATTATATTCGTTCGATTCCTTAGGCGACCAGGAACAATTTGTATATCTCAGAATTTCGGAAAAGTAGCTAGTTTTCGAGAAAATCGAAATTTTCTATTTCGTTAGTTCCAACTTTCACCGCTAGATGGACGGCATTTTTTTTGTCCATGAAATGCACCTTTTTTCTAATTTCGTTCCTAATGGTCCTAGAGGGCTATAATTATATTCCTTCAATTCCTTAGGTGACCAGGAACAATTTGTATATCTCAGAATTTCGGAAAAGTCGCTAGTTTTCGAGAAAATCGAAATTTTCTATTTCGTTAGTTCCAACTTTCACCGCTAGATGGACGGCAATTTTTTAGTCCATGAAATGGAGTTTTTTTAAAAATCGATTTTAACGCTTCTACAGCACTTTGAGCGCATTAACCTAATCGCATTATGCTAAAATAACACTCTACAAGTGCGTTTTAAACTTAAAATTTGATAATTCAGCCAAAAAACAGATTTTTGTTTATCGCTATTTGAGGGACTGTTTTTAAAAAGCGCGCGATTATTTAAAATTCAAAATCGTGGACACAGACTGTGGTAAAGTTTTTAATTTAAAAAATTACTTACCTATCAATATTGTAAGGAGTTACAGGAAGGTCAAACCATACTACAATAAATTGACAATTTCTTTTCATAAAAGAATTTATTTTTACAACTTTCGATAATAATTTATTGCTTCTGGTAATAAACCGATAAATTATAGAACATTTCTTTACAATGCCGTTCGCGAATTATACAATAATTTCTACTATTGCTATTTAATTAACAGTACGAATTCTATTTACCATATAGATTTTCTTTATCTCGAAAAATACTAGTATTTATAAGACCTGTTTCCTTTTGTATTCATAAACATTTAATAAATGAATAAAAATGACTGAATTTAACAAACTTTTCCCCTCCACTGTTAAAAATATATTTTTTACAATATAATTATAACTGCTCTATTATTTATTAGTAACTCTTATTATTTGTTTACTTACTTCTCGCTTCTAACATTTCGGATTACCGACAGGGTTTGATAATGGTGCTATGAAATAATATACAGTTTACGAATATAAACACTATTGTACTTTTTATGCTTTAAATAATATACACACTGCTTAAGCATTAACAAAAAAAGTAAGTGCTTACTTAAAATACCTAGCAGTGTAACGGTTATCTTTCATATTTTATACATATGTATACATGTGATAAAAATATGGTGAATACACATGTACAGCAAAGTAAGTATATAATAGTTCAGTTTTACAAAGTTAAATAACTTCTCTGAATTATTCATTAGCCGTTTTCTTGGCAGGAACAGCATCAGCATTTTCGCTATGACGCCTTTTTCTTTGACCACGTTGCTGGTTACGACCTGTAAAGTAATTCCTTCGTTCAGTGTGTTATATTTTGATGGAATGTCCTATTTTTTTTTTACACGATTTGTTCAGTATACTTGAAGTTCAACTCATCGAGACTCGATGAGGTCTCTCGGTATTAGCATGGCAAAACATCATTACAAAAAAGAAATAAATATTGATAAAAGGAATACTTTCATTAGAAACTTACCTTTCTTACCCCTCTTTCCTTTAACAAATTTCTGTCTCATATTCGCCATCTCTTCCTTTGCTTTTATAAGATATTTCTGTTCCTCCTCACCCTCAAGGACACGACAAGTAACCTCCTTGCCATGTATTAATACCTAGCAGTCCAAAGTCAACAATGTAACCTAATGCCAAGAATTTATATTTTTAAAAAAGTTCTAAATACTCACTTTACTGTCTTTCATTTTATCAACAACGGCTTTCGCAGAGTTTTCCCCTTGCAAACGCACCCAACCTTCTTGGTCACCTATCTTAAAATCTACGAACGCGATACTAGCGTCTAATTCACCTAAACGTTCCTTGATATCCTCTCTTGTACATTTATCAGGTGCATCAGTAAAGTGAATCACACAACCCTTAGGTAATGATGCATCCTTTTCGTTTTCTTCTTCCTCGCCGCTGTGATCGGCTTCTTTTTCTTTCGCCTTTTTGAGAAAGAAATAAAATGATATATTTCACTTGATCAACATTATAAATATATGCAATAACTATTTTTACACTAACATTGTCATGCTTCTTTCCTTTCCCTTCTGATCTCTTCTGCCTCCTCTCTTCTTTCTCTTTAGTCTTCTCCACATTATAATCTGCTCTGTAATTTTAAACAAAATCAAATATAAATTATTAATAAAAAGCATTTCCATAGAGTAAACTTACGACCACTTCCGGATCAGTTCAGTCTCTCCATATTTGATAGGGTCCCTAGCCATAAAAGCTTTTGCATCTTCTAGAGTTTTAAACTGTATAAAAATCGATCCTTTGAACTGCAACTTTTTCTCTTTATCTAGATACTTCCTCATCTATCAAACAAGAAAATGGTCTGAAATTCTAAACATTGTTTTGCAAATTTTCTTCAGGCTATATTCAAAATATTACCCGCTTCAATTACAATTAAGATACTTACAATAATATTTTCAAATGGTTCATAAACGCTGAAAAACGTTTTAAGTTTTTCAATGTTAGTGTCATTCAAAGGGAATCCCTTTAGGTAAATTGTTCTAGCTTCTTGTGCCTTTCTATACTCTTCGTTATATACTGGTAAAGGATGTTTCGGTGAACGACGTATCTTTTTCCTATCTTCAGATATTTCCATTAGTTCACTAGATTCTAGGGCTTTTAATATAACTTCAGTATCTGTACTCATAGATGTCAACATTTTAAAATTCAACATAACAGTCATCGGAATCCATCCATCATCCAACTTTGTTTGTTCAATAAGAAACTTATCTCTTTGCATATTAACATCTCCAAAATAAAACTGCAATAGAGTGGTTTTAGTAAGCTAATAATATTATGATACTTCTCGTGTTGGTTAACGTTTATGTAAAGGCTATGTGTATGTATACATGATTCATAATAAATTAATTACTTTAGTGTTACGATTATTGATTGTGTTAAGGAAACTATACCTCTATTTGATTTTTTATCTTCTCTAATAGCTCCTTAGATGGTTCCTCTGCCGTTTGTTTGGCATTTTCTTCGGCATTAGGAACCGGCTTCTCGGTTTTTGATTCATCGGTAGCAACATTATTTTTTGTTTCCTCAACTTTGGTTTCTTCCTGACCGTTCTCCATTTTGCCCACTTTTTCTTCAACACGACTTACAGAAAATCTACTCTTTGGAAACTGTAGAAAACGTAAATATAAGTCAATTTCTAAAAATCGAACTCAAAACATCATGACGCACACGTGCCCTTGCTGCTTCTGAAGCCGGAAGTATACGATATAATCGAAAATGGTAACCGAACCGCACTAAATCTGAAAATATTTAAACAAACGAACACAAGATTTATTATACTTATACAGTTTTTAACAATGTAAAATTGTTGCATTATTATTTTTAATGATATATCGAACAATTGAATTGTTACTTAAATTCCGTAACAAGTAGAAGTAATATTTAAAAGAATATTGCAACACCTATTATTCAGTTTAAACTATAAACTAATTAGTACCTAATAAATCAGAAAGTAGTTTCGATTATTGATTTAATATAATTTAAATTGAAATTTATTATAATTACCTACAAATAAATAAAAATATATCCAGTATTTTACCCTAAACAGGCTGCCATGTTTTTCTCATTGATCATGAAAAATATTTTTTTCTAAATATAAGTATATATTGTTGGATTAACTTAAATATAATAAATATAACGCATCAAAGACCTTATTCTTCAAATTTCAATGTAATAATCATACTTATAAACATAATTAATATATTTTTTATCGTAATTGAAATCAAACTTTATGTTGGCAAGGATAAGATTGTGATAAAGTTGGCTGCACCTTCAAATACCTGCACTCTCTTCCGGTTCGCTCTTTGAGGGTGACTGAGTCTTTTAGTTTAGCTGTAATTAAATCTTTCTCCATCTTCCACCATGAGGATTTACAAGGATATTTTTACCGGTATGTAAATTCAGAATATATTCAAATATCACGCTTAATATATATTTTTATAATTATTTGCCGTTTTATAAGTAAAATTTTGTGCTTTATCGAAGATAGCTTTACAGTGACATTTCTATCACGAGGACTAAAAGTTTGTCCTTGCTAATAGTAAACAGCTTTATCATAGTAGTTTCAACGCTATGATTATCTCATATATCTTTGTGCATAATTAGGAATTATTCAACTATTGTAGAATTGCTTTACCACTTGAATATTTAGTGTTTTAATTTATAACCTCTCCATATGCTCAAAGTGATTAACTGTAATTGTGAGATAATTAAAAATGATAACCTTCTGCCAGTGAAAAGGAAGATAAATTAAGGAAGAAGATTGCTACAATTTTCTACATTTTGCACTATGAAATTATATAAGTTAATGCTTTAGTGTTTGTTAATAACAATTTAATGAACTTTGTTGCAGGTGATGAGATGTTCTCTGATACCTACAAAATGAAATTGATCGATGATGTTTTATATGAAGTATATGGCAAGGTATGTATGTATGCTATCATTAAACAAATAGGAGTATTAACTTTTTATCAATGATTAGGTGGTTACTCGTAAAGCTGGTGATATAGAAATAGCTGGATTTAACCCATCTGCTGAGGAAGCTGACGAAGGCACAGATGAAGCAGTGGAGAGTGGTGTTGATGTGGTTCTAAATCATCGGCTTCAAGAGACCTTTGCATTTGCAGACAAAAAGTCTTACACCTTATACCTTAAGGATTATATGAAAAAGTAAATATTTAAATTATTGTTGAGGGTACATCAAACAAATTTTTTAATGAATATTTTTACAGATTAGTAGCAAGACTGGAAGAGAAAGCTCCTGATCAAGTAGAAGTATTCAAAACCAATACAAATAAAGTTATGAAAGACATATTGAGTCGTTTTAAAGACTTACAATTCTTCACTGGAGAATCTATGGATATTGATGGTCTTGTTGCATTAATGGAATACCGTGAAATTGATGGTGACTCTGTGCCTGTACTCATGTTCTTCAAGCACGGCCTTGAAGAAGAGAAATTCTAAAAAATTCTAGATATTCAACAAATTGTGGAAAAATATTGTAAGTTCTATGCTTACTGCATATACCCTATATATTTTAATACAGTAATAGTTATTGATGTATTATTATACATGTAAATTCATGCCTTATACTTTTGCACTTATGTGTATATGGCACTGCACAAACATGTTAGATAAAATTGGTTAGCAGATTCCCGCTGTAGTATACTTCTCGTACACAGCGTCTATTTCAACCGGACATTATTATAACGAATTAAATTTTGAAACTGATTTAATGCACAAGAAAATAAAATTCGGTCTTATATATTTTTCAGATGAACTCAAATCAAGACTGTATACATGCTGAGAAGCTGTGAAATTTAGTTAAAGGGAAACAATTCTACTTCCAATCTCATTTTGTAATGTAGTTAAATTATTCATTTAAATGATTAACAGAAGAAACAAGTAATTAATTGTACATATAGAATAACTAAAGGGAAAATGATAAAAGAACCATTAACCCTTCAATATATCGGTATTTGATTCACTGTGACGTTTGTAATATTATTTTCTACTTTCTTTTTTTACTCGACACTATTGGAGCATTTAATTTATAATTAATACAATGGAAGATGGGGAAAGAACTTTGCAGCAATGGAAGTATCAAAAATATGTATAATTGTTATTCTTAAGAATATCAGTGAATAATATCAGAAACATACTCTGTATAATGTCCATCATGAATAAAAGTGTGTTTTCTTAAGTACCGCTTATGATTCATTGTTCATCTATTTTTAGACACCCATTAAATATCTTTGTATGAGTAAACAGTGTTGGAAGGATAGGTACTCTAAAAATTGCAAGAAAAATGTGGGATATAACATAACAGATTTTGAGTTCATAAAAATACTATATTTAGACAAGTCAGAATAGACGATTTATCTCTTGGCGCAAAATCTCTTCACTCAGAGATCAGTATTACTCATACTGTTTTACAAGTACAATAATACAGATTCTTTTTATCTGTTTCACTAACAATCTCGCTCTCTGTCATTCTTTCGTACATATTTTTGTCTTCTATATAATTCGTATATCCATCATTATTAGACATCCTTTTGCGAATATATATATTACTCTTATTATAAAATAGTTACCGATCCAATGTAGAATTTTCTTTGTATTCCAGTTTTCTCATGCCATTACCTGAAAAAGTGTTTACACATACAAAAGCGTATTTCAATAACGTAAGAATTCATGTGTATGTTAAAGCATTTACATTCGTAAATGGATAGATATACACATGTTTAGTAGAGAGAACTACACAATAGATTTACGCGAATTAATTATCCCTTTAAGTAATGAAACAATGGTTACAGCTTAAAGGTAGTAAAAGATGAATTGCAAGTGTATACATACATATATTTTTGTTATATACATTGTATGTGTTTGACATACAACATACAGACATTGTTATTTACACAGAGAAACATTGCTTTTGTTAGCACAACCATAGTGTTATCGGTTATTCAGCAATAAGATGAAAGTCGTTTTCAAACAATATATAAAAAAATTAGTATTCACAAACACCTTTAAGCTGCGAGTACAATAATTGTTTCTATAATAAAGTATTATGTTAAAGAGCTATCCGTACTATTCATCTTTTAAAGTTACTTCATATTAATCGATTTTGAGTTCGCTAACATATTTAGAACTACGCGTTTTGCGCAATGGCGACTTCCATTGATATACAATCAAATTATAAAAAATCTACTCAATAAAATGGTACAACAAGTTCATGAAAATTTTTTGCCGTTTCAATCTGAAGGAAGAAAGATCAAACATGGAACATTGGGCCACGTTAGTATTCCAAAAAATAGTTAATTGTAATGGCAGTTGTACGAGTTAATTTGTTATTCATGTAGCATTTATCGATACATAAAAGTTCACAACATTTATACACACAGAAGGATTTTTAGTACTCTGGTTTTTAGCTTAGATCATTGAAGGTACAATATTTTATAGGAAACCTTCTACTCTGTTTAAGTGGGATGTACCTTACATATTTAGTAAGATCAAATTATTTTATTCGTTACTATTAATATAAACTTATTTGTACTGATCTATGTAGAAAGGGTGCGTGAAATCTTTTCTGTACTTTGTAACAGCAATTAAATGTTATCTCAAATTTTTAATTATACAATAATATACATTACAATTTTAACTCTTAACTGTTACTATGGGGGACCTACAATATCCCACACAGTTAAACAGATGTTACCCTACAATTAAATATATTAAAATGTTTCTGTCAAGAATTGAAAGGAGGAAAATTTTTCTTTTTATGTATCCACAGTGTTTGTACTTCACCATAGCAGTTAAGAGTTAAATACCTGTGAAAAATATAAAAATATAAAATCAGATTGCATAAGTACTAAATAAGCATGAAAAATAGAACAGTGGATAGAAATTATTTTGTTCATTTATTTTACCATGCTTGTACAGAAAATTTCCAATGCACCCTGTTCTTCCATTCTAGGACATCATTACTAAGTAAAACGTTACTACATATAATTTGAGCATTGTACCATTTCTATGATAGTTCAAAGAAGTATGGCAAAAGCATTAAGTTTACATCAATTACAATCGTGTATACAATTCATTGTTCTTGAATATCATTGCTCCACAAAGAAGCATGTTGTTAATGAGTAAGACTTCAATACGGTCCAAAGTGTCAACACTTCTTGAATCTCTTACCTTAAATATAATATGATTTCGTATTTCTTAATTCCTGCCATTATCTTTGTTACTCTACTGACCACTACTGAGGTTCTCATTTATTATTTTGTGAAAGAGTTTTGTTTATATAATTATATATTATACGTATGTAATAGATATCAATCGTTTTAACATTTATATATTTTATATGAAACTTCATTCACAGGTAGCCAAGCATTCACGCCCCTCCAATCCTAATATTTTTTTACTGTTTATTCTCTTTTTCATATTACATATATATTTGTATATATTTAAGGAATTAGATGAGGTGTGATCGCATAACGCGTTTTGTTCAGAGGTAATTTTGGTCGAGATGTTATATTATCAGAAAAAAAAGAACATTATTAACAAACGAAATTGTACGGATTATAAAATACGACTTTCCTATTTACCTTATGAAATATATAAATTATTTGGCTTTGAAATGGTTACAAACATTGGCGTAACTACAATTTTTGTCTGGGGTTATCCAGGTCCCTTATCTTTATTAATAGCGTTGTTCCACTTCAAAAATTGGGGAATTTGAACTTTGAAAAATTTCTAAATTTTTGTCTAGTTACGCCAATGGTTACAAATCATTTTAGAATAGTATAAATCATGTAATTATCAAATGCTTATCCTGCGTTTGGAAACACTTAAAGACAACGTCGTATACCAGGCATTTGAAATGAATAGCAACTCCAGTAGTGTTACAAAAAAGATCGGGAAATTTAATGTGTTCTTTTTCTCATGGTATGCATAACATTAAAAACTCTCATCAAATAGATAACAATAACCAACAACTAACAATCGTAAGCATTCACGCAAAAATAGAAATATGTTTAATAATATATAATATTATCATAATTTATATCATCGAAGTAAGTATGATCATTTTCTTACAATTGCTAAGGGTGCTATAGAGTCATTTAATATAGATGACTAAAACTGAAGGACACTAAGAAAAGATCGATTTTTCCCCGCAAAAATTTACAATCAAGATTACACAATAAAACTCTCAAACTAGTTTACTAAAAATATAAATAAATTTCTAAAATAATGCACTCTCCAAATACCTTTGATTATAAAATCTATACTTTTAACTTATCGATAAAATTTATTGCCCCGAATTTAGAGTTTACGACCACTCGAAAAGTATCTATAATCACAATTTAAATTTCGTAGACCTAGATAAAATAGCCTTGAATTATTAAAATAGAATTAAAACCTATATCTCATAAAACTTTCTTATATCCTTCAGCTCAAATCATAAAAAAAGTTCTGTAAATTACTAACAACGACGGTAAGGTTTCTATCTTATTCCTGTCCTGAATCAGTTAATTCTTACATGTATCTAGATTTAGAAAGATAGACCATACATCTTGCAAGCATCTCTTTGAAGTTGTTTTAAAAGCTCTCTTATAGCGCTGAAATATTATTTTTTCCAAGTAAAATCTTTGAGTGATAAAATTATATTACTCGCTAACTCATAGCGAAAATTAAAATCTGACAAAAGAGGAAACTTGACAATTCCCACAATTTGATATGCCAAACGTAAAACATTGATAAGAAATTTTCTGACAGTATTAACAGCGTATCAAGAAATTTTGATACTTCGAATGTAAATATTCTTTGTTCACGTGTTGTCCAACAGTTATGGTATCGGTATTTCATTACAGACATAAGCTGTACGCATGTGTACATATAATATAGCTCTCGAGACGAGCTACCGTAATATATTTAATTAATAATGAATTAGTAAGTTTATCTCTTTCTCTATACTCTAAAATACAAAACAATAAATTATCATAGTGCACACGTGTAAAACGCTCCCGTTTTATGCATGTATATATTTATTTATATCGTGGCTCTTCCAAAGAACGATCCGAATCGAGGCAGAGTTGGAATGTAAAAATACCCGAGAACATGTTATAATTTATGTTGCATCCACGTTGAGTGCCATGTAAAAAGGCCCTGTCTGTACACAACTCTATTTTGAAAGACTGAACAAGCAGATAGAAACCAACTCGTCGGTGATAGAGAACGTGTAAAATACAACAAAACAAAAACGAGGAGGAGATGTCTTAGGAACTTCCATGTGGCTGTAGGGAGTGCACAGTTCAACGTGGATGCAATGTTATCAGACACACATTGCACTGAAAACTACCACACATTTTAAGTAACTGCATGTAAATTATAAAAACCAATATTTTAATCGTGACATATTGTAAATAAATTTTAGTTTTTACAAGTTTTGGGTGATCAAAGTGGTGGTAGTTTTCAATGCAATTTTATTAATACTTTGATGGTAGCTTTGATAGCCTTCTGATTTAACATTCTTTGCTTTCTTTTAGTTAAAAGTAAGTATAGAGCCACTTATTTTAGGTCCTTGGAGAACCTAGGGATGGGGAGATCCTGAGGGATTGAGGAGACCTAGGATCACTTGAAGAACATGAATGAATGATGGACCTTTTTTCATACTTCCTTTTAACTAAAAGAAGTAAATCCCTCCAACTAAATTACAAAGGTAGGTCAAATGTTTGCCACCATCAAAGTCTCGTTGTAAAACAGCAGCTTGTTGGATTAATGTCACGGTTCCAACGTGCGAAGCTGCAGCCCATGACTCTGCGAGTGTATCGTTGCGACTTTCCACGTGCTCTCGATACGAATCGGATCACTGACCACCCCCTTTACGTCGGACAGAAGAATGCGCTAACGAAGAGACATAAATAAAAAGTCGAAGGAGAGAGGAGTAAGTAAAATCCACCTCGCTGAACGCGTTGATCATCGAACGATCTTGATGAGGAGGTGTCGGAGTACCGACAAGAAAAAACTCTTTCCCATCTGCGATTCTGTTTTCTGTTTGCTCGACGATGATGTGTACATGTGTCCCTCTGGTTCCTCTTACAGATCGGTGTGCCCCAGAACGCGGCACACCTTCTGCTCCTAAGGGTCTGATCGTGATTCCAGCATCTCCACGAGGAAATCGTCGATCGGTACGTCACCGATCATCTTGAAGAAGAATAGGTGTTCCAGGCATTTCAAGCCGATCGATCGGATCGCTGGTAAACGTAGCAACAGTTTGGCGAATCGACCTGGATCGTCGGGCCAAGCTACGCGACAGTAACCCTCTAGGGCTGCGTAGATCTTCTCGCGGAGCAGGGTTACCTCCTGGATAGATTTCAGACCTCGCACTTCCGGGTTGAACAGTATGATGGATCTGTTAAGAGATGAGAGTTTAAGGTTACAAATTTTGCCTTTTTTGATGTGCAGTAGTGAGTGTTGAAAGTGGAGGAAGATTTGAACTTGGGGAAGTTGGAGATTTGGGGATTTGGGAAGTGGAGAGTTGGGGATTGGGGCTTAGAGGAATTTGGGAGGTTGAGAGTTTGGAAGCTTTGTGGTTTAGGTCTTTAGGGATTTGGGACTTTAGGGAGTTGGGACTTTGGAGATTTGGGACTTGAGGGAGTTGGGACTTTGGAGATTTGGGACTCTGGAGATTTGAAACTTGAGGGAGTTGGAACTTTGGAGATTTGGGACTTGAGGGAGTTGGGACTTTGGAGATTTGGGACTTAAGGGAGTTGGGACTTTGGAGATTTGGGACTCTGGAGATTTGAAACTTGAGGGAGTTGGAACTTTGGAGATTTGGGACTTGAGGGAGTTAGGACTTTGGAGATTTGGGACTTTGGAGATTAGGGACTCTGGAGATTTGGGACTCATATGGGATTTGGGAGATTTGGGATTTGGGAGATTTGGGATTTGGGAGATTTGGCATTTTGGAGATTTGGGACTTGGGAAATTTGGGGATTTGGGAGATTTGGGACTTGGGAAGTTTGGGATTCACGAGATTTGAAACTTGGGAAATGTGGGACTTGGGAGATTTGGAACTTTGGAGATTTGGGACTTGAGGGAGTTGGGACTTTGGAGATTTGGGACTTCAGTGACTTGATGTTTTGAAGGTTTGGAACTTTAGAATTCTTGAGATTTCATGCTCTGAAGGTTTAGAACTTCAGGGACTTGTATTCTGGAGATATGGGACTTTGGTATTTGAGATTCTGAAGGTTTGGGACTTAGGTATTTATGGCTTTGGTGATTTAGGACAATTTGATGGTATAGATATTTGGAACTTTAGAGACTTAAGACAATGTGGACTTGGAAGTTAGGATCTTAGGAGCCTAACGACTTCAAGGAAGTACAACTTAGGGGTATAAGGTGCTGTAAATTAATACTAACCTAAGACATCCAAGTTCAGTCCTATCCATCTTCATTTCACGCATTTTCGACACAAGTTCAGATAGCACTCTGTCGAATATCGTGCCCACACCAGCCTGTTGCGCCGAGTTTCGATGAACAGTGATCCCTGTGGCCAGCACGATACCGTCCTTCACGTCGATGGAACGGTGGGAAAAGGAGGCTATCAGCAACTCGTTCCAGCCGGCCCTGAGCAGAAGTACCTGATCCTCCAGTGGCAACGATGTAAAATGTGGGATGTGTTTCGCCCATGCTACCAGCTGGAACAGCTGTTTGTTCGTGGCGTTGCAAATGTGCGACACTGCATTCTGTGCATTACAAGAGATGCCGAATTAATTGAAGGGGCGTTTCGTGGAACAGTTCTACGCACACCATTCCACGAAAATCATCACTGCGCCGCTGCTGCTGTTGCTGCTGTTATTTGCTTACGTACAGATAGATAGATAAACAAGCGACAAGAAAAGCGAACACGATTTTGTTGTTGCTGTCACGAGTTAGCCATTGATGTTGCTGCCGCTGCTGCTGTGTATCGATTCGCAGAATGGCGTACCAATTCTCTAATTTATAGAGATCGTTGCTCCGTTTTTATTCTACGGAATCCAATTGCAAAATGGCTGACAATCATTGGACTTTTGGATACAGATGAAATTTGATATAATTTCAAAAAATTAAGTACTATGAAATTTCAATGAATGAAATTTTCTTTCGGATCAAATTTTAGTTCCGGAGATTGATTGACGGCAATATAGCGAGATGCATTGTATCTCGAAAGGGATGTGTATGGAATATTTAGAGGCTACCAATTAAATTATTTTGAGACATACTTTTGTGATGAATTAATTCCTTTTTTTGAGGGGATTGAGTTTGACTGCTCAAAGTGGTAGCGAAATAATTGGTTAATGTATTTTGAGCAGCTTTGTGACACGACTTGATCGATTTTTTTGTTTTAATTCTTCTTACGGGATAAAACAATGCTAATGGACGTCTCAAACGAGTTTAATTCAATCACTCGTGCGGGTCCAATGACAAATAAATTGATTTCGTCGCGAGACACAGCTGTGTATTGTCCAAAGCTGTCGTTTGTGCAGACTTCTCGACGGCATTCATCGCTGCAAATTAATAAACCGAAAAACGTCACTTGCATTGTATTTTTCAATTAGACGAGTATCATACTGTCACTCGTGGTCTTTTCTGAAAATTTTTATTTCTACAAAATTGTCAAATTCGATCCATCATGCGATACAAGTCGTGTACGCAAAAAGGGTATTTAAAAAGTTACTAGATGCTTCTTTGTCCACTTACCTCGTAATTTCCCTGCTGCTCCATTTTATATTCGACTCGTTTCTCAGCCTCTAGGATACGTTCGATGGGCATGTCAGAATGCAGGCTGCTCGTGCTTTCAACTTCGCTCTGATCCCTTTCCTTGGTACGTTGACGTTCTTCCTGCACTGCTTCCCTTTTCATCCCCATAGCCAGGCATTTCTGGTATCTACAATACTGACATCGATTTCTCTGTCGTTTGTCGATGATGCAGGACTTCTCTTCGCGGCACGCGTACGATAGGTCTTTGCGGACGGTCCTCTTGAAGAATCCTTTGCAACCCTCGCAGCTGAAACAAAATGCTTGTGTTAATATAACTATACTCTCACATCTATTTTACAAAGTTTAAATATATAGTCACTGTCGTATTTTTACTATATTTCTTTACGGGTGATTATAGTCACTCGTTTTTCATCTTTTTATTACTGATGAATGGTTACTTGTTAGTAGGAATAGTTATAGTCACTTGTTATCGACCTTTGCATTGTCAAGGGTGATTATAGTCACTCGTTTTTCTTCTTTTTACTACTGATGACGGGTTACTTGTTAGTAGGAATAGTTATAGTCACTTGTTATCGACCTTTGCATTGTGAAGGATGATTATAGTCACTCGGTATCAAGCTTTTTATTACAGTGGACGATTATAGTCACTAGTTATTGATTCGTGTATTGTTAAAGATGACTATAGTCACTTGATATCAATTCTTTTATTGCTAAGGATGACTATAGACACTCGTTATCAATCTTAGTAATGTTAAGAATGGTTATTGTCATTGGTTATCGAACCTCGTATCACTAAGGATGACTATAATCATTCGTTATCAATCTTATTATTGCTAAGCGACTATAGTCACTTGTCATTAGTCCAAGTAATACTAAGAATGTTTATAGTCACTCGTTATCGGTCCTATTATTGATAAGGATGACTATAGTCATTGGTTATCAGCCTTAAAAGTGTTAAGAATGGTTATAGTCACTCGTTATCGAACCCTGTATGGCTAAGGATGACTATAGTCATTCGTTATTAACCCTTGTACTACTGTGGATGACTGTAGTCACTCGTTATTAAATCATGTAATGCTGAAAATGATTATAGTCATTCATTATCAATCCTTGTATTGTTAAGGATGTTTATAGTCACTCGTTGTCGAACCCTGTATTGCTAAGGATGACTATAGTCATTCGTTATTAACCCTTGTACTACTGTGGATGACTGTAGTCACTCGTTATTAAATCATGTAATGCTGAAAATGATTATAGTCATTCATTATCAATCCTTGTATTGTTAAGGATGTTTACAGTCACTCGTTTTCGAACCCTGTATTGTTAAGGATCACTATAGTCATTCATTATTAACCCTTGTACTACTGTGGACGATTGTAGTCACTCGTTATTAAATCTCGTAATGCTAAAAATGATTATAGTCATTCATTATCAACCTTTGTATTGTTAAGAATGTTTATAGTCACTCGTTATCGAACCTTCTATGACTAAGAACCATAATAGTCACTCATAATTAACTTGTCTGTTACTAAGAATGCCTATAGTCTCTTTCTATCAAGTCCTTTACTATTAAGAACAATTATAGTCACTCGTTTTTAACCTTCCAATGGCAGCTATCGAGTACAGTCACTCGTTTCTAAAACTTTCGTCATGAAGACTGATTATAGTCATTCATTGTCAACTCTCTTCAACAAATTTCAAGGCTGCAAATAACCATAAATCCTAGCCCGATCTCTGGACCATCGATTTTAACTCGAGAAGCCACATTCTCAACCGCTATTCTTCTCGAACTTCGATTATTTTGATGTCTGGCGAAATCCATGAGATTACTACGTCGTATCGTTTCTCTTCGCGTTGGTTGGCCGGCGAATTTACGAATGAAACAAAGCGGAACTATCGCGAGCTGAAACGAGGAGACACAAGCTGATTCATCCTTAACTGCTTTGCGAACGAGTTAACACGATTATACGAGCATGTTCGTGTTAATTACACTCTTGCATGGTGGCCTTTCCGCCCGTAATTTGTAGCTTTGTATAACGGGTTAATTAGCGAATGAGAAATTTATTTATTACTCTCGAATTAATTCACTTTAGCGTGTTACTAAACTTCTAACGCCTTCTCTTTCGAATACCAAGCATAAAATAATTGAGTACGTCAAGATATTCTTGATTTGGTGAGGAGGAGGTATTTGTCTCAAACGTGAAGGTCGAAGAAAAACGCAGGACATTATCGAACGAGCGCGAATTCGTCTCGAAAATACGCTCTGCAACGGAAATAAATTGTTCGCGGAATGTCGCCGGTTTTCTGGAAGGGTTCCAATTTTAAAAACGAACCCCCGAAACTATGGGCCATCGAGAGAGCTTAACGATAACTGAACGCCAAAGAGATTTTCTCTGATCCTCCCATAACTTCAGTCCTTTGATCTTGCCAAGTACTTATGCATTTTTGCATTTTATTTTTCACTAACATGATCTTTAGAACTTTCTAATTTTTGTTAGGATTCTGCACTTTTGGGAGGTATGGGAATTTTTAAATTTGGGAATTTAGGATTTTTGGGAATTTAAGATAAGGGAGTTGGGAAATTAGGGGCTGGGGAATTAGGGAATTAGGGACCTGGGGAATTAGGGAGTTGGGGAATTAGGGAGTGAGGGAATTAGGGAGTTGGAGAATTAGAGAGCTGGGGAATTAGAGAGCTGGGGAATTAGGGAGTTGGGGAATTAGGGGATTGGGAAATTAGGGGATTGGGAAATTGGGAGATTGGGAAATTATCAGAGTGGGAAATTAGGAGACTGGGATATTGGGAGATTGGGAAATTGTGAGAGTGGAAAATTGGGAGATTGGGAAATTAGGAAGTTGGGAAATTATGAGATTGGGACATTGGGAAATTGGGAAATTGAGAGATTGGGAAATTGAGAGATTGGGAAATTGAAAGATTGGGAAATTGAGAGATTGGGAAATTGGAAGATTGGGAAATTAGGAAATTTGGAAATTAGGAGACTGGAACATTGAGAAATTGAAAAAGTGAGAAATCAGGAAATTAAGAAATTGGAAAATAAATTCCTAAATTTCAAAAATTAAAATTGCAAAATTAAGTTCTGCCTGAGCAGTAAAAAATTCTACAACAAATAAATAAAAAAGCAATAAATTCAACGAATAATAAACACAATTTCCTTGAGAAGCACACGCTACTTCCACAGTAACAGCATATCTCTATTGCGGAGTGCAGTATCTCTATTGGTCATTCCCCATTATGACCCACGCGTGTAGCAACAACCGATGGGCATCTCGTATATTGTTGCATTCGCGTTGCATCAGAGTAACCTTGGACTTGCCATGAATTGCGGCTCACGAGGTTAGGACGACTAGCCAGCCATAGTTCCTGCGGGAATGCGGGAAGAAGGGGGCTCGTCTTCTTGGCTGTGCGGCTACTTTGCTCTCCAGTGGCAGCTAATTAAGCAATCACGGCCATTATCAGGGCCCTTGTCAGATAACAGCTGCAACAGGCGAACACGATCCATTCCGCACGCGTCATGGAGATTTCTCTATGGTATGTTTGTATCAACAGATGATTACTCTTTCAATTTTCTACCGACTTGTTCGACGCTTTACAAACAGATTATTTTATGCATTCTTTTTTTATATTCCCTTTATTTTATTATAGCAAATGAAATATGCGTAGTATAATATGAAGGTTTAGTTAGTTATTTATTTTTTGATGGTTCACGATATTTCATTTTTTATACGAAGAGCTTCTCTCCGATCACTCTTCTCTCCGAAGAGGGTATGCAAATTGGAGGACTCGAGATCAAAGAGTGTCTCGTAGGTGCCATTCATTAGTCGACGTAGTTCGTAGCCAAAAACCGAAGGTCTCCTCATATTTTCAATAATGAAACTTGGCGTGGATGAACAAGCCTCTGTACGCACGTCTTGCATCAGCATTATTTCTCTGGCGTGTAAACGAAAGCGAGATCAAACAACTTGCACGGTGGTCTTGAAATTATATTGCCATTGCATGTTTCTTGCTTATACATTTCGTGCTTCTACTCGTCCCTTCAGAATAACTACGTGAGAAATTATAAGGTTAATGTAGCCTTCAAAGTCTGGGTAATATTAAGATTAAGTTGCAAGTTTTTTGAATTCCAAAAATTTTCAATTCCAAGATTCCCAATTCCAATACTTCCAAATTTCAAGATCCTCAATTTCAATATTTCCAAATTCTAAATTTAGCAATTCCAATATTTCCAAATTCCAAGTTTAGCAATTCCAAGATCCCCAATCTCAAGTTTAGCAATTCCAAGATCACCAATGCCAAGTTTAGCAATTCCCAGATCCCCAATTCCAAGTTTAGCAACTCCAAGATCCACAATTTCAAGTATAGCAATTCCCAGATCCCCAATTCCAAGTATAGCAATTCCAACATCCACAATTCCAAGTTTAGCAATTCCAACATCCCCAATTCCAAAACCCCCAATTCCAAAATCTGCAATTCCACAATTCCGAGTTCCAAAATCCCCAATTCCAATATTTCAAAATTCTAAGATCCTCAATTCCAAGTTTAGCAATTCCAAGATCTTCAATTCCAAGTATTTCAAATTCCAAGGTCCCCAATTGCAAGTATTTCAAATTCCAAGTTTTGCAATTCCAAGATCTCCAACTCCAAAACCCCCAATTCCAAAATCTGCAATTCCAAAATTCCAAGTTCCAAAACCCCCAGTTCCAAATTCCAAAATCCCCAATTCCAATATTTCAAAATTCTAAGATCCTCAATTCCAAGTTTAGCAATTCCAAGATCTTCAATTCCAAGTTTAGCAATTCCAATATCCCCAATTCCAAGTATTTCAAATTCCAAGTTTTACAATTCTAAGATCTCCAACTCCAAGTTTAGCAATTCCAAGATCCCCAATTCCAAGTATTTCAAATTCCAAGTATTGCAATTCCAAGATCTCCAACTCCAAGTTTTGCAATTCCAAAATCTCCAACTCCAAGTTTAGCAATTCCAAGATCCACAATTCCAAAATCTGCAATTCCACAACTCCAAATTCCCAAATCTCCCATTCCTGAATTTCCTACATCTCTAAATCCCCAACTCCCCAAATCTCCAACCCCAAAATCCAATTCAAAATACAATTCTTAACTTTGAACCCAACCACAAACTCTACATCTTACAACCCTGAAAAGCGATGAATTCTCCTGATCCCTTCGTCATAACGCCTGATAGAATTCGCAGGAATTTAGTAAGCGATAAAAGTTTTAATTGGCTAAGTTTGTACCCGTGAAGCGCGATTGAAGTTCCTTGTTCAAGGCGTGTTTGCAGCTAGGGAACAAGGTTGGATCTGTAGCAAACATCTTGTACCTTAACAAACCGTAATCGACAGAGTAAAGGCATCGGTCAAAATTTATTACCTTTACATGTAGTGATATTGAATCTTCGTTAAATGATATTACAAGGTTTACCATTAAATTTTCCTGAGAATCATCGTTTCAATGAACTTGATTCTGTCTAGAAAATTCTGTGAACGAAGTTCAACTTCTAATACGATTTCCTTCGGCAACTGTATCATATTTTTTCCTCGTCTTCTCGGAAATTAAAAGAATCTCTCGTTGTCTAACTCGTTCGACAGCGATACGAAATGGAAGCAACAGTAGGTCGAAGTTCAAGATAATTCAAAAAATAAGCTTTTATCGGTGCACCGAAGACGACTTTATCGTGACGGGTACGTTATAGGTGAAACAACGAAGTTTATTAATACGTTTTAAAGCCGTCGGCATTGAGGGGTCGGGATTATCATGTAAATCCATGGAACCTTGAACTGCTTCGTTTCGATGATGGAAAAACTGTTCGGTGCATTGATGAACGGCACGAGTTGTATTTGTGCATTGTCAAATTTAACGAATTTTTACAGATTTGATCATTGTATCAAATTGGTTTAATACTCTCGTTATATTGCAGTGTATATAGCTGTAGGGATGACAGTTACTGGACTTGGCAATATGTAGAATTTATTGGAAATTATTTGACAGGTTGTTATACATTGCATGGCACTTTAATTTGCAGAAATTCAACACATGGCGAAATAACAAATGGTGATTTAACATATGGCAATATAACACGTAGCAATACATGGTAAATTAATGTATGGTGATACAATATGTGAAAATTGAACATTAATCGCCCTAACGCACAGTAATTTAATATATGGCGATATAACGCGTGGCAATATAACGAGTGGCGATGTAACACATAACAAAATAATCCAACATGTGAGAATTGAACGCTAAACAATCTAAAGCGTGGTAATTCAACATACGGCGATATAACGCGTGGCAATATAACGCGTGGGGATGCAACACGTGGCAATATAACGCGTGGGGACGAAACACGTAATAAATTAGCGCGTGGTGATCCAACATGTGAAAATTAAACGCTAAATAATCTAAAGCGTAGAAAATTAACATATGGCGATATAACGCGTGGCAATATAATGAGTACCACTGTAACACGTAATAAATTAGCGCGTGGTAATCCAACATATAAGAATCGAACGCTAAACAATCTCAAGCGTGGAAATTTAACATATGGCGATATAACGCGTGGCAGTATAACGCACGGCAATGTAACCCACGGTAATCTAATACATAGGAATTCAACATAAAAAGATCTAATACCTAATAATTTTTAACACGCGTGAAAAAAATGAAAATTGCAATATAACGAGAGTCTATCGTCTTCACAGATTAGACATAAGTTTAATAATAATTAATGAAAGACTCACCTATAGACACCATAGTGTTTGCCACTGGCACGGTCCCCGCAGATCGAACATAGGTGCTTGCTTCCGGAAAGAGGGTGATTCGGCGGGTAGGGTGCGACTGCTTTGTTCTGTCCACTCGGCGACGTGCTGAGGAGGTTGCTGTGACAACCAGCGTTGAAGGATCTTACATGCAAAGAAGAGAATAACAAAAAACTCGACCTACGAAACTACTGCCCTGGATCGAGCAAAATACTGTCACAAACTTTGGAATCCTGCGAATTATGCTAAGTTTCGTTGCATTGTAAACAGTGAAATATTCATTTCTCCACAAAGCTTCCTCACATTCTATTTGAGTTGAAAATTTCAAAGCTTGCAACTTCAGGAGAATTTTATCTTAAAAATTTTGAAACTTGTAACATGAAATTGAATCTCGAAATTTTTTCTAATAGTTGTATATTTGACAAGTTACAAGACAACGATTAAAATCAAGTATTTTGCTCAATGTTTTCCACGGGCTCAACTACGCTCATAGTATACCCTCGATTTACGACGTGTTTCGCCATAATACCATTTTCTTGATATCCCTCGAACTGAGTGAATCGTGTACATACATTCTGTTTCAATAACATATTGTTCGTCCATTTGATTTTGTATCATATTCCCCGTTATGTCGATGCCACTTACCCTGGACTATTGGGACCGGAAGGGCTAAAGTTTCCTGCATTGATGAGGCTCGCTGTGTCCGGCTTCATGTCCAGAGGACTCTGTGGGCCCACAGAAGACATGGACATGTTGCTGTTGTCCAAGCTTAGCCCTGAAACATACATTTATAACAATTACACTTTGCCACATTTTCAAATCTTTAAGACACTGAATTCTGAGTTTCTATATTTTTTAATTAGCTGTATTGATATTTAGAAAGTTGCAAATTTATGAATTAAGTAATTTCAAATTTAGAAATTTGTTGTTGGGATTTGGGGAGCAGACATTTTTAGGTCCACAATGACTATCAATGTTCCAAAGCTTCCAAATCCACCAAGTCCCAAATCCACAATGACCCAAATTCCAAAGCTTCTAAGTCCACCAAGTCCCAAATTCCAAAGCTTCTAAATCCACCAAGTCCCAAATTCCAAAGCTTCCAAATCCACAAGGACCCAAATTCCAAAGCTTGCAAATCCACCAAGTCTCAAACTCCAAAGCTTCCAAATCCACCAAGTCCCAAGTTCTAAAGCTTCCAAATCCACCAAGTCCCAAATTCCAGAGCTTCCAAATCCATCAAGTCCCAAATTCTAAACCTTCCAAAAATCCACCAAGTCCCAAATTCCAAAACTTCCAAATCCACAAAGCCCCAAACTCCAAAGCTTCCAAATCCACAAAGTCTCAAACTCCAAAGCTTCCAAATCCACCAAGTCTCAAACTCCAAAGCTTCCAAATCCACAAAGCCCCAAACTCCAAAGCTTCCAAATCCACAAAGCCCCAAACTCCAAAGCTTCCAAATCCACAAAGTCCCAAACTCCAAATCCTCCAAATCCACAAAGTCCCAAACTCCAAACCTCCCAAATCCACAAAGTCCCAAATTCCAAAGCTTGCAAATCCACAAAACCCCCTATTCTAACCTCCTACAGCCCTCAAAACTCTGACAATCCCATAGCCCTTCCTCCAACCCCAAAATCCTGACAATCCACATACACCACATGAGCATCATGACCATACACAGACGCTTAATTTTTGGTACATTCGCACATTTATCCACGATTGTTCGCAGAAGCTTTCATTCGTCGTGTTCCACCGTCTGTCGTCGACCTTCGGTCCGCTTTGCACGCTCGCGTTGCGTAATTAAAGCGGCGGCTCGGCGCTTAATAAACGACTCGGTGATGAGAGGCACGCAATCGGCGACCCTAACAACTCGAAATAGAAGTCGCGAGCGAGCGGAGTTACGACCTCGGGCGTAATTATATTTTCCGCGGAAAGATGCTGATGATCGCTCGATATCATCATCGATGTTTTCAACGCAACCTTTTAAGGGCTCGCATTTTTATACGGTGTACGATTAACCCACTGAACCGAGCTTTTCCAGCCTTTGTTGCGTCTGAATCGCGTGTAGCCGCGCATATCGATCTCGGTGCTGTAAATAGTTGGGCTTGGTTCGGATCTGAGATGGAACTGCCTGTATCGATAATATCAAAATAGTATCAATAATATAACATATCATTAGTATCGATAACTGGACACACTGGCAACATCGAAAGATATCAATAATTTGATATGTGGATTGTGTGCATTTGATATGTAGATCGGAATTCTATGAATAACTGATATATGGTTAGGCTAGGTTAACTAGCCTAACAAATAACCTATTCAATAATTTGATATGTGGATCGTGTAGATTTGATATGTAGATCGAAATTCTATGAATAACTGATATGTAGTTAGGTTAGGTTAACTAACCTAACAAATAACCTATTCAATAATTTGATATGTGGATTGTGTGCATTTGATATGTAGATCGAAATTCTATGAATAACTGATATGTAGTTAGGTTAGGTTGACTAGTCTAACAATTAACCTATTCAATAATTTGATATGTGGATTGTGTGCATTTGATATGTAGATCGGAATTCTATGAATAACTGATATATGGTTAGGTTAGGTTAACTAACCTAACAAATAACCTATTCAATAATTTGATATGAGGATTATATAAATTTGATATGTAGATCGAAATGTGATCAATAACTGATATATCGATAATATCAAAGTACCAGCACATCTAACTTAATTTCATCTCTCATCAACCGAATCTAATTATTCATGTTTCAAGCTAGATAAACAAGAGTATACAGCAGAAAGCATCAGACGAGTCTAGGAGCAGCATCAAATGCATACGTCGATTAACGGCGAAAAGAGAGAAAGAAACCTCAGGTCGAAATAGGACAGCAGCTTCGTTTCTCCTGGATCATTTTCACCCTTTCTCCCCCACGTTCATCACCGACGTAGGGTGGAACCCTATTAAAACGTCATTTATCATCCGTTCGCGTTTCCCCCGCGTGTCACGACAGCCTACGGAGATGTGTAACGCGAACGTCTGTTCGACGAGTGATTCGTCGCGAATCGAGCCTGAGAAATAGAGTGTGAAAAAAGCGAGGCAAAGATGATGATGATGGGGCGCGGTGATGTAGCCGGTGCAAATTGCGTCGACCGCGGGAGCAGCATGTCGAGCTGGAGTAAGATGAATATCGCCTCGATTAAAACTGATCGGTCTGATACGATCCAGTAATTTGGGCGTGACTGAATAAATGCATGTATAGCACTTTTATAACCGCTGCTGTGATTTTGGGACTTTATGCAGATAGCTTCAGATCTGAAGATACTTGGAGTAGATGGACTCAGAGTAGTTTGGAGGTAAGGTTAGGTTAGATATAGGGATTGTGGAGTCTAAGGGAGTTGGGGATGTTTTAAGAGAATTGGGGTGGAGGGACTAGGGGTTTGGAAGACTAGGGACTTTGAGAGATAGCGAATTTGAGATCTAAGGATTTTTGGAATTTAGATATTTGGGAACTCGGGGATTTTTGGTATGGTGAGTTAAGGAATCAGGGGTCTTGGAATTTAATGATTTAGGAATTGGAGATTTTGGAATTGGGGATCTTGGAATTGGGGATCTGGGAATTGATGATTTAGGTATTTGGAATTGTGGAATTGGGTGTTCTGGAATTTGGAATTATGGAATTGGGGATTTTGGAATTGGGGGTTTTGGAATTGCTACACTTGGAATTGGGGATCTTGGAAGAGCAAAATTTGGAATTTGGGGATCTTGGAATTGCAAAACTTGGAATTGGGGATCTTGGAATTGCAAAACTTGGAATCGAGGGTCTTGGAATTGCGACACTTGGAATTGGGGGTCTTGGAATTGCTACGCTTGGAATTGGGGGCCTTGGAATTACTACGCTTGGAATTGGGGGCCTTGGAATTACTACGCTTGGAATTGGGGGGCTTGGAATTGCAAAATTTGGAATTGCTAATCTTGGAATGGAGGATCTTGGAATTGCAAAACTTGGAATTAGGGGTCTTGGAATTGGGGGTCTTGGAATTGCTAAACTTGGAATTGCTAAACTTGGAATTTCGAAATATTGGAATTGAGGGTATCAAATACTTCTGCATCCAGAAATGCATCAATCTAGTCATTTATCAACCTAGAGACTTACTGATCTGAGAATTCAGTAATCTAAGAATGCAGTAAAAATCCTACTTCTCCGTCGACAAATACACTTCGAACGTGTGCATTTATGCTTATAGGTAACTGTTGAATCGAAGTAGCGATCAAAGAACTTTGTTCGAGCGTCGACCGAGTTGTGGACACGACTTAAACCGTATCAAAGAGGGCAGAGACGACGAGGACACGAGAGTGGCTGCAAGGCCAAGTCCGGTGACAGTATATTACACCGGCAGTGTCGGGCACCTTGACCAGACGCAAACATGCCGGTGCAATGTTCGAAACAATTTGCTATACCAGACTATTTCTTGCGCGTGCTCGTACATCTACACCCCTTTCGTTACCAAAAGCGACTGTAATTAAGCAACTTCGTTTGGGACATAATGAAGGTAACTATGGTCACACCCTGAAGAGGGCTTGTGGTTGTCGAAATCTCGAGTCGAGAGATTTCGTATTTAATTAATGTGTCTGGACAGGTATACTTTGATGTCTCTAGATGGATAATAAGTTCTTTATTTAATTATTCAGTCATCTTCGAAATTGTTGGGAGTATGAAAAGGTAATATGGCTGATCATTGGACATGACGCACCATGTGCGTTCTACCCTTATCCTATGCAAAGAGGCAATGACGCACCATGTGCGTTCTACCCTTAAACTATGCAAGTTACAATGACGCACCGTATGCGTCCTACTCTTTTCATATGCAAACAGACAATGACGCACCGTATGCGTCCTACTCTTCTCATATGTAAAGAGGCAATGACGCACCGTATGCGTCCTACCCTTATTCTATGCAACTTACAATGACGCACCTTATGCGTCCTACCCTTATTCTATACAAGTTACAATGACGCACCGTATGCGTCCTACCCTTACCCTATGCAAACACACAATGACGCACCATGTGCGTCCCATATAAAAGATTAAACTTCCTCCAAAAATATCCATAAATTCGTACAATTTTTCGCAGCATATTTCAAACAATAAATGAAAGAATCTTCAATTCAAGGTCTCACTTGATAACTCGTTAATCGTGGTTCGCGTGGCCAAATAAAAAACTGCACAAGATACGAAATCAAAAAGAAAGAGAAGCAAGAGGGGAAGAAGAAAAGCGACCTACACCAACAATGAGTCAAGTGCGTTGGCTCGTGAATATTTAAAACATATATTCGCCTTTAAAGGTGAACCGACCGAGCGAATCGAACGCGAAAGAGAGCCGGTCGTATGGCGAAACGACTGGAAACCTGATTTTCAAGGGCAGAAGCAAACGTGAAATTGGGAATGGTCATGTCTTTCGAGCGAGAGAGAGTATCGATCGTTCTCCCCTTCCTTTGGCCGTGAGCGAATATTCTGCACGAGGACTTCTCGGCTTCTTCCATGGGATCCTGGGGGAGATGGGGATATTGCGTCCCGTTTCGACAATGGGGATGAAAACGTCGATGGAACGTTGCGACTTCGTTGCGTTCCTAACATAGCTTTATCATGAGAAATTTGGGAAATTTTTATATTTAGAATTGTAGATGATTTTTGGTAATTTTTTAACTTAGGAATCTGGTGAATTTTTGTCATTTTGAGGTTTGGAAGATTGTGGATGTTGGAGTCT